CTGCCAGAAGAGTCAACATAATTGGCTGTTTATATCTGAGTCAGGCCTATGGCTACAATGACCTTAACAGCAGGCCAGGATACGTCTTGTTGGCAACTGCTGAGGAGTGGTGTTTGTTTTAAAAACAATTGGATAGCCTTTTGGATTCAGTTTTTTTTTAGTAAGGGGGGTAGTGCAGTGGTGAGTAGGAAACACTTCACGTGACAAACCTCTTATTCCCAGACAGAAAACAAATTGCTTTTCAAGCCACCAAAGACACGTCTTTTAGTTGCTTGCAGATTTTGCATAATTATGCTTTGGATCTTTCAGTTTCTTTAGTTCACTGCCATTTATGAAAGATTCACCATTTGTTAGGCAGTCTTAGACATTTCTGTGGGAGTAGTGTAATGTTTGCCATTGTGAAACAAAACATACGCAAAAGAACACTGCGGTACAGCAATGGAGCTATATCCCTTACATCTGTTGAATAATATAGTTTCCTCGGTTACTGCAGCTGTGAGTTATGGCTCAGACATATGGCAGACTAGCCCACAGCCCTCAATAGGGAATCCATTTTTAATGGCACTTTATTTCTGCCCTTTTCATCAGTAATGTCATGCTGGGAAACAACAGGAAAAGGAAGACTGTGTGTAGTGCACTGAATAAATCTGATGTAGAAATACAGGATGCAATCCAGAGTAATGAGGATGGCTGTTTTTTTCCCCACCATCTTGGGTATGTGGGGAAGGTAGGGGGCATTAGGACTTGATTAAAATGAAGCAAAATTCTGTGGCATTAACTTTGTAGGCATACTCAGTCCTTGTACGTAGAACCACACACATTTGTCCAATATTAAAATTTTGCTTTCTGTAAGAAACTGTAAGAACACAGTACAGGTTTCACCTCTAAAATCCAGGATTCTCTGGTTCTGCAACATCCAGCGTGACCATGGATGTTCCAGGGTCAGTGTGTCCCAGCACACTGCAGGATGGAGAGGTCTGGGAACCACTATATGGCTCAGTTGGGCTGTGAGGAAGGAGCCAGGAACCAGCACAGGGTTCACCTGGGCTGGGGAGGGGCCGTGAGCTAGCATGTGTCTCAGCTGGGCTGTGGGGGCTTCCAGGAAGCGGGTAAGGGGTGGGGCTGAACTGACTTCCCTTGGTCCAGAAAAATCCCTTACCTGGGACCAGTCAGGTCCCAAGGGTGCCGGCCCAGGGAGGTTCAATCCCTTCCTGCACCCAGACCCCCCTCCTGGATCCTGTAGCCAAATCCCCTGCCTCAGGTCACAACCCCCGCCTTCACCCAAACTCCCTCTTAGATCTCACACTGTATCCTGCCCCCCAGTCCCTTAACCCACTCTTCTGCACCCAACCTCCATCCTACTGCCCACATCCCCTCCACAGAAAAGTGCGGCCCTTGACCACTTTCCAAAATCTTGGAGTGCCCCCCCCAACGTTGGTTCCTGAATAGTTAGGTTGCCATAAACTGCCTTAGGTTGACCTGACTGTGTAGTGTAGACCAGCCTTCAGTCATGATCTCCCTTGTCTGTGCTATTCATTTCAGTGTGGATAAAAATCAATGATAAAAAAAAATCAGATAAAAAAATACAATTCTAAATTTCCCATTTAAAAACAACTTACCATTAAATCTCATCACAACTATGCACACAGTTACAGTCTGATACAAATTAATGAATGGTTTTAGCCTGTCCAGCCTAACTGCCACATCTTTCTTCTTGAAAGTTTTGGGCTTTCAGTTTCTGTTTCTCAGCAGACTAAAGTCACATGTGCAAAGGATGCAGGGGATATAAGATTGTTTTTCTGTGCATATGTGGTGGTGTACCTGGGCCAAGCATGACTGACATTGGTCAGTCAGGACAATTGTCTTAGAGCGGGAGACAATATATGGGGAAGAATGGAGGAGAAATAGTAAGGAGCAGTGGAGTGGACTGGAAAGAAAAAGGGAAGATAGGATTCAGTGCACACACAGCTTCCTATATTTCCCTGCACTTTTGTCATAGACAAACTGTCATGGCCCTATCTGGGAATATTTTGAAGAAATCCATTTTCTGGGTGAAAAAGGGAAACAGCGTTAGCGATGAAAGAAGATGATATAGGGCCTAGTTGCAAGAAGCATCATAGCGAAAACTGCATATTGAGAGAAAATGATGTGGATATGAACATGTGTGAAGATCAACTGGTTAGTAACTTGAATAATTCACATTGGCATGCATCATTCTTCAGGATTCTTTGCCTTCCTGTATAAGTGTTGTTTATAAATAAACTTCTCAAGTTGTTTGCTATGATGGATGTCGCTAGAAAAAAAAGTTTAGCTTAGCTAATCTTTATGGCTTGTTAGATTCTAAACCTAGTTAATGAATTAATCACCCACGTATACAGAAAGCTACAGTAAGAGAAATCTAGAATTGCCACTGTCATTTTATTCTTTTATATTATGTAATACATGCCTCTTATTTTGGAAAATCATGGCCAGACCATAATGGTGATGCCATGAGTTTATTACCTATTTTACTTAAGCATAACTCAGTTTTCCCAAGGAACCTCATGCTATATTTGTTTTCTCAGAAGACACAAGGGCCAGTGAGTAAAATGAGACTGACTCTACTATTAAGTGCATTCTAAGCACAGTTTGTCTTAGCTTCTTTGGTAATTTGGAATCAGATCTGTATCTTTGCTGAAAAATTGTAAATGATTAACTGAAAAATGCAGTGAAAAGAATGACCATTCAAAATCATTTTTGAATTTTGTTTCAGGGTCCAATTTAAACATGAGACTCTATCTGCAGCAGTCCGTTGGTACTTTTAGCAGCAGTACTATAAATAACATACTTCAGACAAGGAAGTATCATTAGCAAGCAAAATACTTCAATCCAGGGGGGGGGAAAAATAAAAACAAAATACTGTAATGGAGATGCCTATCTCCTGCCTTAACAGCAGGACCAAGTACCATCCTTGACACATTTTTGCCCCAAATGGTTTCCTCAAGGATTGAACTCACAATCCTGAGTTTAGCGGGCCAATGCACAAACCACTGAACTATCCCTTCCCCACCACCATGAATGGGTTTGTAGTAGGGAGTAGGAAATACCATAAGTGATAAGATTGCTTGGTTAATTTAAGCCAGCAGTTCCCACTCACCAGTCTGCGAATCCATCTCTGCCGGGCTGTGGCATGTTGCCAAGCCATGCCCCCAGCTTTTATTTAGCCCTTCCGCTGGGGTTCCCCAGGGAATTCCCTTTCTGCCCACTTAGCCATGCAGCAGCAGGGTGAGTAGGGCAGCGGGCAGCCCAATGTGCTGCAGCTGGAACCGGGACCATGGTAAGGCTGACCCTACTGGGGCAGCCTCACTGTGACCTCAGTTATAGCTCCGGCTGCTACTACATGGCCTGCCAACGAGGCCGTGTGGAGCATGGCTGCCCCGTGACCCTGTTCTCCCTCCCTGCTAAGCAGGAGCCTCCCCCTGGCTTCTAGTTGCTCGCAGCCACCAGGTACACACATGAATATTATGCATTATTAAGAGCATAGGAAAATGTGAATGTGCAGAATGTGTCAGCACTGTCAGGATTGTTACCTACTGCCTAATAAATTCTGGTGCAATTGAGGCACAAGGTTGGGACTGGACAATACTCTTTAACAAGCATTAGCAACTACTTTATTGTTTTTTAAAAATGAGTGTGCAGCACTTTTTAAAATTCTTGTTAGCCATCATGTTCCTCTTCCTTTTGATTTGCTTGATATACCATGGTTAAAATGACCATAATGATATGCAAATATTTCAGTGCCAGCCCACCAACGGTTTTTGAATCAGTTCGCCGGTCTGCGGTATAAAGAACGTTGGGAACATGGACTAATGCTGCTTAGAGCAGGTCTAGGTGACGTCATTGAAAAATGCTGCTAGCTATGATAACCCCCCTGTGGTTGCCAGTACAGGTGAAACTGCGCTGATTCTAGGTAAACAGGAAGAAAATAAATTGCCTGATGTTGCAGTGTTGCCAAGGCAGGGCAATTCCAGTGTTGCAGACTGCAGTTTTGGGAACAGGGGGGAAGGAAGTAATTGGGATCACTGTTGTTCTTGACGCTTGCTTAGTTATTAGGATAAATATTTTTCTCCACATGCAGCTGTGTAAGCAGATGCTTGCTTGCAGTATACTCTGTGAACACTTTCTTTTAAATGAAAGGTATGCCTTAGGAGAAAAAGCTTGATTTAATATGGTTGTGGCCCATCCACTTGAGTTACTAAGCACGTGAAATGTACTAATAGTTTTGTATTTTTTGGTTAGTGAAAGCAATCACATTTGTCCTTAAATGTTGTTTTAAACTGATTTGTCAGAATCTGGCTGCTCACCTCAGCTGAGGGAAACCTTTAATGAGTAGCTGCTACCTGAATGATACTGCTATAGAAGTAAATAAGAGGAGACGGGTATTGCTTTTTGTTTAATACTAAGTTTTTCTTTTACTGAAGGCATTTATTGTCACTTGAACATGGAGAAATGAACTGGTTTTTTGTACATATGACTGTGTCCTCGACTTCTGATGGTATATTTGTCTATAATCCTTTTGACTCTAAAATTCTATATTGCAGCTAATATTTCATTTCAGTTCATTGTTGTATTGTTGCCAGCTCTCTTTAACAGGAAGATCATACTAAAAGTTAAATGTTAAGGACTGAAATAACTTTTGCATTGAGGATGTAAACTTACAACGATCAGAAGACCTTGTCAGTGATGTCAAGAGCTTTTATAGTCTCCTTTTCACATTGCCTTCCTTAGTAATCACCTTGTTAAAGCCTATAACAATACATATATGAACAAAACAGAATTAAAATCATAGGTACTGATGTTCACTTTTTTGTTTTGTTTGATATAATAGAGCTTTAAACTTACTTAAGAGAAGAGAGGGGATCCAGGTAGAATTTCATGTCCTCACCAAATATTCTTTTTGACCTGACCAATCTTATGTCCTTTTAAGTATTGTCTCTGATGACTGGCTTTTTCTCTTGTAGTTGCAGCCGTCTTCGACAAATCCAGAGCATCCTGATGCAGAGCAGCAAATCTCAACCTGATGGAATCCTCTGCATTTTAGGTTAGTTCTCTTAACTGTTCAAGTTTGTCAACAGCATGTTCAAGAAATGCATAGAGTAAACTTTTAAGAGTTATAAAATAATTGCAGATGTAGAAATATGGAAGAATGTAGTATTGTTATGTTTACAAGAAGCACACGGGATCTTTATGGGGGAAAGGCAATATGTTGTATTTATTTAGACTACAATGGCAAAACAGTTAGCGAATGCTTATATAGTCAGACAGACATCCTCCTGCCGCTGATGGTCTAGTTTGCTCATGTTAACCTGGTGGCCAAGTAGGCCAAATGAGAGGGAGGAACCAGGTTTGCTTCGGCCCGGACCAAGGTTACATTCTAATAATGGAAGGACAAACCCAGTTCTTAAGGGAAAACAGTCCTCCTTTTATAATGGTCCTTCTCCCTCAGGATCAGTGAGTCTGACATGGTCATTCTGTTTTTTCTGACCGATGTCTGTTACTCTGGTTGTTCTTGTTCCTTATCATCTTTGTTCTGCCATGCTAAGCTGGCTTGGATCATGAATAACTTGTCCCAATTAATAATGCTTGCCCTTTCCCTCAGTGTTCGGGTTCACCAATCTGCCCTCTCTTGTTATGCCTTCTAGACCATTGTTGTCTGGTTCAGTGGTGGCCTTCATCCATATCTTTCGCACATAACAAAAACAAGAATTTAGGTTTACAAGCGAAATTTCAAGAAAAAGCAAGTCATTACATTCCTCCATTACCTTGCATTACATTATAATATCTACTTTAAAACTAAAAACAAAATAGCCATAAAAATCCACATCTATTTCTACTTCAATGATTAAAAAATATTGAAACTTGGTGCATTACATTTTAAATGCTTGAAAAAGCTCTAAAATAAGAATTTTTCAACTACCGTATTTAGAGCTGTGGCCACCAACCAGTCGAACACAATTGACTGGTTGATTGTGGGGGCTCTGGCAGTCGATCGTGAGGCAGTGCTCCCAGACCGCTTTGGTCCCTCCCACCCCCAACGAAGAGCCTGTGCTGGTGCTACAGCCTCCCGCAAAAATAGAGCTAGCTCCGGCTTCCTAAGGACATAGTATTTTATGTATTTATTTTTTGCCGGACATAGTATTTTATTTAAAAATGAAGCCTGGCCAATAAACCCCCAATTTGGTCCAAACCCCCATCTGGCTGCACCCTCATAACACTCCTGCACCTCGACCACCTCACCTGACCCTGAGCCCATCATACACCTTCTCAGGAAGCAGCCTCAAGACTTTGCCCCCACGCTGCAGGAAGGAAGGGAAGACAAGAAATCATGCATTCCTCCCCTGCCCACAACAGCGCATCTGCTTTCTTGTCTTCCCTTCCTTCACGGTGCTCTGGGAAGGCAGGGGGTGGGGTTTAAGATGGCAGCGCAGAATCTGGAGTGGCTGGATTTCTTGAAGCTGTATGTGCGCTTCTTCCTGCAGATCCTGCCCCAGAGATCCTTGTCCCTGGAGAGCCCCGGTATCGGCCAACCTGCTCCTGCCCCCTCCCTCTGGCCAGACTGCCACCAGCACTCTGCCCCCTCTCCCTTTGCCAGAGACCCACCAGCACACTACCTCCTGGCCAAACAACCACCAGCACCCTGCTCCTGTCGCCTCCTTCCTGGCTAGACATCTACACCCCAGCTTGCTCCTGTACCCTACTTCTCACCCAGACGCTGTACCCCCATCCCTATCCCACTCACTAGCAGCCCTGTCCCGCACACTGGATCCCTTGTTTTTGGCCTCACCTCAGAGCATAGAGGGGCCCACAAAATCCACTAACCCTGGAATCCCAGAAGAGTTAATCTGGCCCGAGGACTTGAAGACTACTAATGAGATTCATTATAGATGGGAAAATGTGAACTATTATTTCTCTTTTGGTATTTCTTCTAAATTCCTTACTGTGCTGACAGATTTAGACAGAAAAAGATATCTGCTACCTTCCCCAAGTTGGTGCACATTTTTCTGTAGGGGTAAATGGTTTAAACACACATTCAGTGAGAAGCAACCTCTGAGGAACAGGGAAACGATGATTTAGTGGTGGCAGTGGATATGAGTTTGCAATGTCTTGTGGCATCAAAAAAAGTAAATACAAAACAGAGCTGTGTACACAAAGGTATCATTTTACAGAAGGATAGTAGCCCCATTCTATATATCTGGGGCATGATGCTTCTTGTTGCAGTTAGTTGTAAATGCCTAATTATTAGCAAGATACTGACAAATTGGAGGGAGTTCCATCAACAGTGATTACAGTAGCTGGCTGGAGGGTATGACTGAGGTTAAAAGGGGCTTTTAGAAGCCCCTCCCATGGTTTTCCAAATAGGACTGAGGTTAAAAAGATAATGTAAAACTAGAAGATTTACCTGTCGTTGCCTGGGTCCAGCCTGAGGGTGGGGTAGGCCTGGGCCATGCAGGCTTCCTGCTGGTGCTCCCTGGGCCGGAGCTGGAGGGGAGGGTACAGCCTAGGGGTGGAGTGTCATGGCCCCCGGTCAAGGGGGTAGGCCGTGCAGGCATGGCGCTGGTATTCCCTTGGCCTGGCCTGAGGGTGCGGGGGCGTGGGCAGGCTGTAGTTCCTGTGGCATGAGGCACTGCTGCACTGCCTGGCCCCAGCAGTGCCCCTGCTTGGAGGTCCTGTGGCGGTGGGGCTTCTGGGTTAGTACGGAGTCATTAAACTTCATTTGCAGATCATAGTCTGTCAGATGAAGAGATTTTCTTGCTGATTGGCAGCACTGTTACTGCTGCTAACAATTGACAAAATGAATGGGTTTCTTACCCTGTCAAGTTTAGCTGAGTTGTGTTGAATGATGGGGAAATAAGACTTAAAGTCAGATGTCAGGAGGGTCAAATGATCTTCAGGTGCTTTTGCAGAAAAAGTTGAATCTTCTTGAGGTTGAGTTGGCAAGTGTGGAACAAAAAAAAAAATGTTCTTTGGGAAAAAATACTTCTGCTGGCTTACCCACATGTACGGGGGTGGTTGTCTTTAAATGTCATTGCAGGTGTACTGGCTTCATCCTGTTGTTTTGAGTTTCTTAGAAAAACTTGAAATGGACAGCTATTTCTAAACATGACTTCAAATACAATATAATCCTTGTAGAACTGAGGGGTTTTTTTTTTTAGTATTTTTTAATGTATTTCTATTTTTGTTGTGACTGCTGCATCTTGAGCTCATTTTAAAAATCAAGACATTGTTATTGCGCCTATGTGATGTACTAATTTCAACATCGTTAACATTCTTGCCGACATCAATAAATGACACAAAATGCATGTCTAATACAGTGCATCTATGCACTTGAAGTTATTGTTTTATAAGCAGCAGTATAAACAAGTCATTGTATGAAATTTTAGTATGTTTTGACTAGGGATGTTGGTTTAACCAAGAAGATGATGCTGATCTGTTCATGTTAGCAGTTCAACTCTGCCCACTGGGGGGTTGGCTGTGCCCTCCCCTCTGCTGCGGGCTGTACTGTTTGCTGCAGAACCTGCAGCGAAGCCCTACTCTCGGAGTCTAACAGCCCCTGCCAGCTTGGCTTCCAGGGAGGAGGATCTGCCACCCCTTCTCCCCTGGAGGCTTCGCTACATGCGCTGCAGCATAACGCTTATTTAGGATCATACTGCGGAGTCTACAGCATGTGTAACAGCTAAGATTTTTAGCAGTTATACGATTACCTGTTGAACTGACTTGTTACATACCTAGATTTGACTTGGCTAGTGATTTTCCTAGCTTGTTGTAAAATGAGGCAAACGTCTAGATTATACTCTTGGAAGACCTGTTGTGTATCCTTCTGGAGTATGAATACCTCTGGTTGAGAACTGCTGATGGAATTTGTATGAACATTTTTAAAAGTTATTTTCTCAAGTCATCCCAAGGAAAGAGATGACAGTCTTTCATGTTACAATGCCCTGCGCTAGAAGCATTTCTGCTTTATACCTTAAAAACTCATTGAGTATATTGCACAGGGTTCCTATGAAGAGAAACTTGGGATAAAACTTTTAGGCTGTGTCTACATTGGCAAGATTTTGTGCAAATACTCTTTAACGCAAGAGTTTTTGCATTAGAGTATTTGCGCAAGAGAGAGTCTACACTGGCATGTGCTTTTGCGCAAAAGATGTGCATCCGTGCCAGTGTAGACGCTCTCTTGCGCAAAAAAGCTCCAATGGCCATTTTAACTATCAGGCTTTCTTGCGCAAGAAATTCATGTTGCCTGTCTACACTGGCCTCTTGCACAAGAGGGCTTATTCCCAAGCGGGAGCGTCATAGTTCTTGCGCAAGAAGCACTGATTTCTTACATTAGAACATCAATGTTCTTGCGCAAGAACTCGCAGCCAGTGTAGACAGGCAGCAAGTTTTTGCTCAAAAGCAGTAGCTTCTGTGCAAAATCTTGCCAATGTAGACACAGCTTTAATGAAAACGTTTCCCATAAGCTTTTCGGAAATTTCTCTGTCACAAGTAATTCAGCAATACTTAACTCCAAGCTGTTAATATTAGCCAGTGACTCGTGGGGACTTCATGCAGCACCGCACTGATTTAGATGCATAGTTCTTGTTAGCAGTAACAGTCTTATTTTCTGATGGTGCTCTGAAATGAGCCTCACGGGGACCAATTGGAATAACAGCAGTAATAAACAAGATATTATTTATATGTAACAGTAATGTACAGAGGCCCTAGTTAAGACCCTTGGGCTAGGTCATGTATTAAAACTTGATCCTTAGTTCCTCCCTCCCAGGTAACAATTTGAAGCCCCCAGTAGAATCATAGAACACTAGAACAGGAAGGGACTTGAGAGGTCATTGAGTCCAGTCCCCTACCCTCGTGGCAGACAAAGCACAGTCTATATCATCTGTCCAACCTGCTCTTAAATATCTCCAGTGATGGAAATTCCATAGCTTTCCTCTGCAGTTTATTCCAGTGTTTAACCACCCTGACAGTTAGGAAGTTTTTCCTGATGTCCAACCTAAACCTCCCTTGTTGCAGTTTAAGCCCATTGCTTTTTGTCTTGTCCTCAAA